CCCTCTGATTTGTTGGAGTGTTTGCAGTAAGAAACTCTGTACCCCTGAACCCTACTACAAATTAGAGGTGAGCCCAAAAGAGCTGCTGTCTGCTCTTGTCTTTATATTTTTGGTTTGTTTGTTTTTCCAATATTCTCTTTTGGGTATGTGGTTGGATTACATGCAACCCCATCTGAGTATTACGGTGCTCCTCTCCTCCTATGAACACACACACACTCAAAGGTCTGACCCTTGATTCTGATTTTTCACTTTTTGCTATCTGAACAGGTGCACGTTTGTTGCTGCAGCACTAACAGGCACTCCTCCCCGTTGATTTATATCTCCTGTAGGTTTATTAGCAGCAGCAGGAGACCAGACTGAGGAGCCAGGACTGAGCCACCAGGGTAATGAGTCAGAGAAAAGGGAGGGAGGAGAGGAGCACAACTGCCCCTCAGCAGCTTCTCTTTGCAGCCAAACAACAACACTGTGTCCCCATCTGTCCATGGCATACATGCACATGAATCCCATTTCCACATTTATCAGAACACATGGTTCATCATCTCCCTCGCAAGCGATACATGCAATTGAATACCCCGTTACTGCACATAAATTCATGTTAAACTTTTCTAAAATACACACACATCAATCCTTTGCCTTTTATTTTTTTTTATATGCCCTAAAGATGGGCAGCTGAGTGACTCCAGCAGCTCTGACAGAATACATCTGACTGCTCGCGTCTCCTGGTGGATTTAATCTGTTATGTCCCAGCAAAGTTGTTTTACCTGCACTGTTGTTAGGCATCTGGATTTGCCTGCCCGTTGTGGCTGCTGTCACAGTAACAACTTCAACTAGAGGCTGAATTTTGAAGCAGCTGATGTGGGAAGTGTGCCACACGCAGCTCCTCTTCTTCATTCTTCACAGAAGATCTTTCCAGATGGAGCTTCGCATTTTATCATTTCTTTTTTTTTTTTACCAACTCCCTCTGTTCATAGATGGAAATTAAGGAGACGCTCTGTCACATTCGGCCGATATCTTCTTGCGCTTGAACGCCTAACACACTCTGTGCAGTGCTGGTGGTATGTGTGTCTTTAAAGGAAGCCTTTCTATTCAAACAGCAGAAGATCCAGGTCTCTGTCCCTCCCCCCCCTCTCCTCTTTACAGCACTGCCTCTCCTCCCCCCTCCTTTTTTTTTTTTTTTCTCAGGTTAATGTTGTTTAAAAAATAACTTTGCTAACTGTTCATATTGTCTAACCATTGCCCCTGACCCCTTCTTTTTTTTTTTTTTTTCCCCCCCTCCCCCTTATAAGGGGCTCTCAGTGTGTTGCCATGGAGACAGCCACATGGGTGTGTTGTTCCTGTTTGTCTTTCAGGTGCAAACGCTGTACTACTCACCTGACCATAAGCTGGTGGATGGAGGGCTGGTGATTGAGGGGCACAGTGAGGTGTTTGGTGGCGAGGAGGACCACCTTCAGTTTGTGCAGGTACTCAACAGCTTGTGCCTGGCTTCACCGCCTCTACCACACTTTGCTTGGCAGCGTGCGGCATACAGCTTGTGCCTGACCATGCATCAAAGAACTACATGGTCCCTTTCTGGCTAAAAGTCTATATGGCTCATTTGTACCATAATTTAGCCACAATGTAAGAGCTAATGTAACGTAGAACATGACCAATGATGCCGGCCTGGCAGTGCTGTTGAGCATATGTTAAAAGCTCTCTGTGTTTATTAAGCTAATCTCAGCCAGCTGAGCGTGGACAGTTGCTGTTTCAGGTTTTTATCGGCCTCCTTTAAATTGTGTCGTGGTCTGACACTGCTGTAGTAGCTGCTGTAGCTGGCTTCAGATATGGGGAGGTGAGATTTTGGTACTTGCTCCGGCAAGATCATGCTACGTCTACGTTAGAGCAGCTGGATCAAAGAGTAGGCTGGGATGGAATTGGTTGGCGTTGGCCACTGTTGGGGCCTGTGGTGCAAGCTTGGTTTCTGTAGCTGCAATATACTCTTGCAGAAGAAACCTGTACGGGAGAGCGACCAGCGACAGATGAGCTGCAGCTCTTCAGGAAGCCTGTCTCCCTCCAACCAAGCAGCAAATGCCCCAAAGCAGACCGCCAGGAGAGAGTGGAAATACATCGCCTCTGAGAAGACCGCAAGTAAGTCCATTAACTGTGCAATCAGAACTTGCCTTTGGGTGGAATAAACGCCACATGCTGTACATGAAAAGCAAACTTTTTGTTGCCTAACCATCTCTAATCTTACTCCTAGGCAACAACTACTTGTGTCTGGCTGTGCTGGACGGTGTGCTGTGTGTGATCTTCTTGCACGGTCGCAACAGCCCTCAGACATCTCCCTCTGCCACTCCCTGCTTGATGAAGAGCCTCAGCTTCGAGGCCCAGCCAGAAGAGCTCGAAGAGCAACCGCTCTCACCCATGCATTATGCTCGCTCCGGCCTGGGCACCGCAGCCTTGAATGGAAAATTCATTGCAGCAGGTTGGCAAATCATCCATTAGCCTTACTGCTTTCTCTGTCGGTGGGGTGTGTGTTTGTAGGTTATAGTGCAGCACGGACAGACGTACACACGTTGTTCTCACTGGACATGTAGGTTTTGCACTGATTAATATTTTGAGTTTATATAAGGGAGTTATTGACTGTGGTGCCTCTTTGTGTTCCTGCAGGGGGCTACAACAGAGAGGAGTGTCTGAGGACTGTCGAGTGTTACGACCCCAAGGAGGACCGCTGGACTTTCATCGCACCCATGCGGACTCCGAGGGCTCGTTTCCAGATGGCCGTGCTCATGGTAGAGTTTTAGCATTTATCTTATGTCAGGTTCATTTGTTCTGGATTACAGAGACATTTTAATATCCGCCCGGGAGCGTAGCTGCACCTGTTCAAACAGGATTAGTTGTCCTGTTTAAGTATTTCTCTACTCCTCGTGTTCAAATATGTTTGTTACATTTCTGTTAGTTGGCACTTGATGTTGGAAAAATTGGAAGTGTGAAAGGGTCTAATGACCTCTTGCAGGGTCAGCTTTACGTGATTGGAGGTTCAAACGGACATTCTGATGAGCTGAGCTGTGGGGAGAAATACGATCCTCGCACTGATGAGTGGACTCAAGTACCAGAGCTGAGGACGAATCGCTGCAACGCAGGTCGGTCCACTGTGCATGCATGCAACTTTTTTTCCATGTCTAGAAAAAAAGTGTCTGAAGTCTTCAATGACGGTTCAACTCGTCGCTTTCATCTCTCTTAAAGGCGTCTGCTCCTTGAACAACAAACTCTATGTTGTGGGAGGGTCGGATCCCTGCGGGCAGAAGGGTCTGAAGAACTGTGACGCTTTTGACCCTGTGGCCAAAACCTGGACCAACTGTGCCTCCCTCAACATCAGTGTGTATCCACAGTGGATTTTGACTTTTTTGCAGCCTGAGGTGAGATGAAAAGCTGTATTCATTGAGCGAATATGATTTCAGGGAGGCACCAGGCAGCAGTGTGCGAGTTGGACGGCTTCATGTACGCGATCGGAGGGGCAGAGTCGTGGAATTGCCTGAACACCGTGGAGCGCTACAACCCCGAGAACAACACCTGGACTCTGATAGCTCCCATGAATGTGGCTCGCAGAGGGGCCGCCGTCGCCGTTCATGCAGGTGAGTCCACAGATACGAAAAGCTAGCCCTGCCTTTCAGACTGATCCGTTCTTGGTCAGACTTCCCTGACGTTGGCATCTCTGGCTCTCGATAGGCAAACTGTTTGTTGTCGGCGGCTTCGACGGCACCCACGCTCTTCGCTGCGTGGAGATGTACGACCCCGCCCGCAACGATTGGAAGATGCTGGGCAGCATGACATCGTCTCGCAGCAATGCGGGCGTGGCCATGCTGGGTGACACAATCTACGCCGTGGGCGGCTTTGACGGAAACGAGTTCCTTAACACGGTGGAGGTATACAACCCCGAGATGGACGAGTGGTACGACTGCGCCAAAGCCCCGTCTCCCCTCTCTGACTGAAGAGGGAAGACCGGGAGGAGGGAGAGCAGGGGATTGGAGTTTCAGTGCTAAACCTATTTTTATTTTCCCCCCAAACTAACAGGCTTAGTGACGTAATCGTGTTTCGTGATGATCTGTGTGTATGAGCGGATACGTGTGGGGGTGGGGGGGACGGGCGAGGGGTCTTCAGTGAAGATCGACTTATATGTAGGGGGGGTGGGGGGGTTGTTGCCCAAAGCAACATGACGCCTTTGCATATTGCATACAATGGTTTTTGTGCTGTATATATTTAGTTTCTTCCTCATTTCTGTCATATGCCAACACATTTAGTGCTTCTTTCCCCCCTTACATTTCAAAGGTTTGTCACCTTTGAGGTTTTCACAGAAGCGTTCGACTTTTGGTTACTTAAAAGGTGGCTGTATGGAGTGGTGATGTTTTCATTTAAGAATATTTCTGTTGGGGGAAATGCAAGTTTGCTCACACATTTAAAGGTCAGTAGTTTGAAGCCTTACTCAAAAGTGCGAGTAGATAAACACCTATCATGGCTTTTTGTGTCATTTTAAACCAGCTGGATTGCTTTTTGGATCTTAAATGATGGCCTTTTTTTATATTTTTTTATACACTGCTGATTTACCAGTTTAAAAATAAAAAATAGTAGTAGCAGAGAGCTTCAGTCATTGAATCTAACCAGTGCCAGATTTAGTTGCATTCACGTGCACACACCACGCACAAACCATGCTTCTGCTAACTACATTTTTGTTTTTGTGACTTAAGAAATTGATGTATGTAGACATTGCAGTTTACTAAAAATCTTTTCCTTTTTTTTTTCCGTCTTGGGTTTAAAGTGTCAGGCATTGGCAGATTCTTCTGGAAGGATTGTTAGAGCAAGAAAATGACCACATTTGTAACATTTCTTAATAAATCATTTAAACCAGATTCTTTTGGCGTGATGTGTCATGATTTGAGATGAATCATCAGTTTGCAAATTCTGACATTAATCAAGTAATTAACACAAAGTATCGCTCGATAACAGACTATATCGTTTTTAAGTCGTGACTCAGCAGGTGACCCTAACTTTTGCTGCCACCTCATCTTCCTCTAGTTCTGCTCCTGAGTAATTGCTGTGTCCTGTTCACTGCTAAGCTTTCACTGCCACCATTTTCCACAGTGACTACCACACTAAGCCAGTTTTTTTTCCCCTCCCAAGTGTCTTTTAGTGGAGATTATGCTAAGCTGGCTAACAGACATCAGCAGGAAGGGATGACGACAGTCATTCTGGATAGTGGAAGTGTTGAAAGAGGACTGCCTGACCTCGTATCACTGCCTGCCTGCTGGAGCTGGTTTAATCCCTGCCCTGCACTCAATTCACAACTTGGTCACTGGTAACCTGTATGGTGGGGTAAATGGGCTAGTATAAGTATGTGTGGCTGTACACTTTGCTCTTGCATTGTAAAGTGGGATCATGACTAAAGAGCTGAGAGCATCGACATGTGTTGAAGCATTTTAAACTCTTACCTGATCATTTACAATTATAACTTTGATAGTTTTTCTTCCAGTCATTTTCTAATTACAACGTCACAGCGAGGTCCCTCGACAGCTACAAGTTTAAATGTATATTAAAGAACACTTAAAAAAAAAAAAGGCTCTGTACATTTTTCTAAATGACTAAGCTGAGACAGGAAGTTGGGGTCCTCATTACCTGTCCTTTCACCATCTTCCACCTCTCCCTGCATGGTGTCTGATGCTTCAGCCTCTGCCTGTGTCACACTACCAGCAGGTGTATTCTAAGCCTGTCTGCTGGCATCACAGGCATATAATCCCCTTAGTCACCCTTCACACACACGCATGACCACACTCGGGCTGACGATCACAGCAGCACTCTGCACATGCGAACGCTACCTCGTTAAAGAAAACGTGACGCGTCTCTAGTGATTCAAAACCAAGCAACAGTAAAAAAAAAAAAAGTTCTTTACTTGACAATTTAGCCAACAATAAGTTTAGATGTCAAAATGGGCTCTTAAAAAATGAACTGAACAATCTCAGCATTCATAAGAAAAATAGTGTTTTATGGATGTAACCTGAGCCTCGTGGTGAAAACAGAGAGCGACATCGATGTGAGTTAAATAACGTCAACAGATTAAGCTCTGTAAGAAGCTGTCAGGTAATCAGAAATGATTTAAAAACAAACCTAAATAAATGCAGGCCTTTAAATAACAAATGGTACATATTTTATTTTTATTAAAAAAATATTTCAAGTAAAAATGTTGTCATTTAACTAATCACTCTAAACAAAATAATATGCTTTTTTAAAATAGATTTAAATATTTATAAACTAAATTTCACCTTAACTCACAAACTCATTCAGGACACAAGTGCAAAGCTATTAGAGAATAATGAAATCTGTACTTGCTGAATTATACAAACCAGCTGTTACAGCATTAAACCTTCGGAAAACTGCGTTATCTCTGTAACATGAACTTTATGGATGGAGAACAAAGGCAGAAACGGGCACAGCACGAGCAGATGCGCCTTTAACTCGACAGCTTTGAGTTCAAGTTTGGTTGATGAGCAACGTTCCTGACGGTGCTACGTGGGGAACGTCGTGTATTGACCTGCAGCTTGAACACAGTGTTCCAAGGCCTCTTGAAGCTCCATTAACTTGGTCCCTCCCACCCTGAGCTTCTCCCTGGGAATACGAGAAAACAGAGAAAGACATGAGTACAGAGAAGGGAGTGGCATCCACCTCTCTCACACAGCTTTGCCTGTATGGTTTAATTAGATCCACTAATCGAGCCACTAAAGCGGACTTGTTCACTTTATAATCCAGAGGCACAAGAAAGTCTTACAGATATGAACCCTTCAACTACACTTTCCTGTCGTTCGGCTTTTACACAAAGTACACGGAGACTGAAAGGCTGGCATGGAAAACAGATCGATGAGTGAATTTTGAGTTATAAGATAAGCGTTCAGTGTTGTGAAACTGGAGGATGTGCAGAACATCCACCAGGATCAGGTGACCCTGAATCCTCCCTTAGTTATGCTGCAACAGGTGTAGGCTACTGGGGGATTCCCATGATGCACTGGGTGTTTCTTCTTCACTCACTATGTATTAACAGACCTCTCTGCACTGAATCATACTTGTTATTAACCTCTGTCTCTCTTCCACAGCATGTCTTTATCCTGTATTTCTTCTCTCACACCAACCAATCACAGCAGATGGCCCCGCCCCTCCCTGAGCCTGGTTCTGTCGGAGGTTTCTTCCTGTCAAAAGGGAGTTTTTCCTTCCCACTGTCGCCAAAGTGCTGCTCATAGGGGGTCATATGATTGTTGGGTTTTTCTCTGTGTGTATTATTGTAGGGTCGACGTTACAATATAAAGCGCCTGTATAAATAAAATTGAATTGAACATTTCAACAGAAAGGTGTCAAATGTACGGCACTTTGGTCACAGGAATGCACTCTCCACCAGTACACAGTGTTTAAGATGGGCTAAGCTTTACAAAAGGAACCTTGTGTGTGACACTTTTTCTCTCAGGAGAGATGCCATCCATCCCACTCTGGATGGAGCAGCTCTCATTTCTAGAAATCTGGCCAAATTTATTAAAACCCCCAAAATGTGACTATCCAGAGCTGGGAGCAGAAAGAGTTGCAGTCTTCAATGCCTCTCTGCAGCTTCCCTCCTCCTGTTATCCCCTAAACCCATCCCCTTAGAGACTGCGTCAGCTCTCAAAAAGACAAAAAAAAACAAACTAAAAACCAGCAACAAACAACTTAAACATAAAACCCTGAGAACCCCGCTCCAGAAATGTCTCTTAGTGTGCGACAAGGAGTTGAGAGCGGACAACGATCTAATCTCCAAAAAGCCTGTGGCTAATGAAATGTTTTAGGCCTGATTGTGTCAATGGGAATGGAGGTCAAGTTGAGATCTGGAAGATCGCAGCACTTTTCAAGAAAACTGCTCACAGGATAGCAAGGAAGGAAAACCTGTTTCACTTAAAAAGACCTGGAAGCACAGTCGGGCATGGCGCTGCACCGTTCTTATCTGCGGCATAAATATGACCTTCATGGAAGAGTCATTGGGAAAAGTCTGTTCCTGTGACCTCCCCATAAAAATCTGCACTACAAGTCTGCAAACGAGCATCGAAACAAGCCTGTGGACTGATGAACTAAACAACAGGAGTCTCTAAGGGCCCTGAGTAAAGACGTTGCAGCACGTGGCACAGGGAACATTTCAGTGGTGAGATGAAGAATGGTTTGTAGGTAAACAACGACAGTTAAACACTTCTGATCACAACACTACGGATGATCCTACCAAACCTGATAATTCACAAGGTGTTGTCTCTAGAAACAAAAGCTAAAGGTTTAGACACGTCCTCGCCGTCCACCAGCAGAACGTTTCGTCATCATCAGGTGACGTCTTCAGTCTCAGCTGACTGCAGGTTTCAACCTTATAAACAGGACATTTGCACACTGACTGACACCAGCACCACTGAATGAACAATGGGCTCTGAGGTCAGTTCCTTGATTATTAATATGCAAATTGTCATGATCATTGATCAGCAACCATTGATCAATGGCCATGAGTACCATTCACATTGCTCCTTCAGTGGGTTAGTTTCAGTCTTTGCACTGCAGCCCTCCACCCCCCAAAAAACCCCTCAATAACCCGAAGGCACTCAAAACCTTTAAAAGCTGACAGTCACCTAACAGAGTGGTGCCGTGCACACACCACGAGGTGCCCGAACGTTTGCTTAAGGCTCTTTTTCCTATTTGTAATTTTGAAACTGTGAAAGTTGAAGTTGGAAATAATCAACACGTCATCTTGAATTGATGCCTGAAAATGAAACCGAACATGGCACCGTGTGGATGAATCCAGACTTTTCTACGCTAACAGTTTGATCACTGAACTTTGGATGTGCTGATCGCACTCGCCACTCACAACAGACAACGCTGCTTCTGTGTACACGGCAGCTTCCAGAAGCTCTGGATTTCACTGGCAACTATTTAAGCACATTTCCCTCAGCTGAGCTCATTTTTTTGGTAACACTGCTACAGTACAGCACATCCAGGCAGTTGCAAACGCACATAACGAGGGTTCGGCATGCACAGACATGCAAACTGGCTGCTGAAATCTTGGCAACAGCTGCTTAGCAGCGGAGACGCTGAGGGAGCTTGTTGCTCGTTGGCCTTTTTTCTTTGTTTTCGCTGGATGATTGTGCAACTGCAGGAAGGAGAGGAATCTGCTGACTGCTATCCATCCACTTCCCGTTCCTCACCCCAGGGTGCAGCTGTGTGTTTTTGGAGCCTGTGGAAATGGGTACAGGCTGCTCCCAGGATGTGCTGATTGGTGGCAACTGGGCTGGTTTTGCAGAGTGTGCCATGGACAGACAGGCTTCCCTCAAAGTGTTTCCACTGACAAACTACTGCGACACGTTTGTCACGTCAAAGAGTGTCCAAGTGTCAGCGACGCACATCGACGGTGTGTACACAGGGAAGGGCTGCTGTGTTACATAACAGCCTACATGTGTTTGACAGGTAGTTAATGCATGTCCCCGGGAGACACTAATGATTTGCACTCAACTGAAAATAGGACCACGTGATGATGTGATGTTCTAAAGCAGAGCATCATGTGATTAGCAGGAGCAGAAAGCCTCCGATTGTATTCCATCCCCTCTGATGGCGCTAAGAACATTTAGGATCTTGCATCTGAGCAAAAAGCATCACAACAGTAACAATAAAGACGAAAATGGTTGCATTTATATCCATGTTTCCCTTTTCCCTCACCGGTCCTGCCAACAAGCACAGAGAAATCTTTCTTTGTCACTGTGATGCAGACAAAGAATTCTAATTACTGATCAATAAGAAGATTTTTTAAAGAACATAAAGAGCAAGCGAAGGCGGTGCGTTCAAATTAATGCAACACATGAAAACAAAGATTCATATTTCACTAACATCAGGCACGAGAGGGCGAAATAAAAGCTTCTATTACTGAAGGAGACCGATCTGCCTTATCAGACACACAGCAGCACTCGAGTATAATGAACAGAAAGTTAACTAATGTAACGCCCGAGGCTTTCTTGTGCTGAACGATGTGCTGTTCCCCACAGGCTTACGAAACGGCAGAGCGGCGTTTCCCTCTGGATGCTCCGTGTGACCGAGTTACATAAAACTAATGTGTAAATTTCATGACATGAGACGACGCCAGAAGGAGCCACCGCTAAATCTGTCGAGTGAGTCAGCGTATTATGTCAGAAACGATATGAAAGTTAAACATGGACGTGGCTAATGCGTGAACAAGCACTCTGTGAAAACCGAGTCATTCGATTATCAGCTGCGGTAACCAACAGCCACGCTGCTCTGCACTAAAAGCCATCGGGCAACAACCTGACGGCACGTCTGCGAGTGTGGATTTGAATATTTCTTGGAGCTGAGTGGATTTTAACAGAAGGCAAACTGAGCTGAGTCGCAGGACATCACATTCATTCAGTAACAGGACTGGAAGTTACAATCCCTGATAATTGGAGGAGGTCTTCAGGTATTGCTGTTATGAGGAAATGCAGCCCAGAAACTTTACCAGCGAGACACATCGTCATGTGCCTCAACTTCACAGGGTGTTTCGGTCTTTCACCCAAAATAATCTGCCATTTTTACCTTCCTTGGTTAGCTTTAGGGATTAGAGATCTGATCTAGATTATCATATTAAAATGTGGGACACATCGTCAGTAGCGGACCTTGGATTCATCGGGTGTTTCGGCCATTATCGCCAGACACCCTCATCTAAGGAGGCCCTGCCAGGGTTGATCAGGCCCCAGAGTGCGTCACTGGTTTGTGTTAAGGCCCTGAGACAGCTGCATCGGTCAACTAGCACTCAAATGCTTCCTCAATTGCATCCTCCCACGCTACCAGCAGCTCAAAATCTGCCAAACATTTGCCTCTTTGTTCAAAATCTAGATGTCTTTCAGAAGCACATGTGACTGCCCACAAGCTCTGTGCTCGATTTGCACAATATCCTTTCTTACTAAACACACAATGGCATTCCTATATCACATAACAGAAAGCAGTACCCTTATTCCTGGTGCTTCTGTGCCAGTGCAGAGTAACAGACCTATCACTGATTATTTTTAAATTTGTTTTATAGTGTTATAAAAAGTATGTTATCGAGAACGATAAGCAACACAGAACACGTTTTATTTAACCTGACACAGTAAAATCTTATCAGCTGAAACCAGCGCCTCCCAAGGCCTTATATAACTCGTGACATAATACCACTGCGCTCAGCAAAGAAATCAAATATTTAACACTGCGCTCGCTAAGTGAAGTCCTAGATTGGTTCACGGCGAATGTAACAAATAAAACATTTAGGATCAAAACAAAGAGCCTGTCAGCGGTGATCTGTGGCAACAAAAGCCAGAACGATGCGACTGCCAAGTGCCTGCAGAGCTCTTCTGGGAAGTGACACGGCACAAGCTGCCTTTAAACACTAAATAAAACATCTGACTTCACATGATTATTCCAGGCAAGAAAGTCACTGAAATACAGGAAAGTCATCTGATAATGCTCTCAGCTCTGATGACACAATAAGCAAGATCACAAAACGAGTCATTTTTCTCTCTCAACAGGTGATCCAGGAGTTTTTCTTTTTTTAAGTTTCCTTTCTCACTGTCCCACTTCCCCTCTGTTTTTCTGTTCCTTCATCGTTCTTTCTCCCTTTCCTATCCCTCAGTCATGTCTGTCCCATCTGTAACAACTGAAAATAAAATAAAATAAATAATAACAACAAAGGTCGATCAAATGGATCAATACAGTAAGGCCGTGATGATCCACTTGGTAAAGTAAATCCATTGGGTCTCCTTGTTGGCCTTCAGACAACAATTCTGACGGCAAAAAAAACAAACATAAAAAAAAACCAAACAAAAAAACCTCGAGTCATCTCGGCCGCAAACATTTCAGCACAAAATCTCATCTTGAAAATTGATGATAGTGTCATAAATTGAGTCATAAAAGAGATAACAAAGATTGAGGAACATAGCCAGAATCAGACGAATCCTTCAAGTATCTTGGTGTCCACATCTCCTCAGACCTGACGTGGGCTGCCCACTTTCAGGTCCAGACCAAAAAGGCTAGGCAGCGCCTGTACCATCTACGACAACTGAGGAAGTTCAGGGTCTCTCCAGAGATCCTCAGGATTTTCTATACAGGCGCTGTGGAGAGCATCCTCACGCGGAACATGACATCGTGGTTTGGGAACAGCTGTGTGAAGGACCAAAAAGCTCTCCAGAGAGTGATCCGTACAGCAGAACGCTGCTGCAGGATTGCTCTCCCCCC